CAGACCCCCAAGGATGCCGTGATATACGACTATCACGTGACGTTTGAGCCGCAAGTGGAGGCCCGTGTGATGCGGAAGGCGATGCTCTTCAGCCATAAGGAGTCCTTCGGCAATGTGTTGGTCTTCGACGGCATGTCTAACATCAAGTCGACGAACAAATTGCCGGCCGCGGAGACGGAGTTCTTCAGCGCCCGGCGCACAGATAACGTGCAGATCAGGTGAGTGTATAGCTCTGTGTATGAGTGCGTGTGTGTATCGATGGACAGGTAGTTAACACCCGGGTATGTCTGTGGACTAGGATTGTGGTGAAGTTCGTGGGCGAGATCTCGTGGGGACACCAGGAGATGATGCGTATGTACAACACGCAGATGCGGCGCAACCTGCAGCTCCTCAAGTGGAACCTCATCGGTCGCCACTACTTCCACCCGGACATCAAGCATAAGATACCGGAGCACCGGCTGGAGGTGCTCCAGGGCCTGCTCACGGCCATCAACCAGCACGACGACGGCATACTCATGGTGTGCGACACCGTCCACAAAGTGATCCGTTCGGACTCCTGTTACGACACACTGCAAGAGATGATCCGGAAGGACAGGGCCTCCTTCCAGGACAACGCCCGGCGCGAGATCGCCGGCAGTATTGTCATAACCCCGCACAACAACCGCACGTATCGTATCGATGACATCGCCTTCGATAAGAACCCGCAGCACACGTTCGACCGCAAGGGGACGGCTGTGTCGCTGAAGGACTACTATAAGGAACAGTACGGTCTGACCATCAAAGACGACAGGCAGCCGCTGCTCGTAGGCCTGCCCTCAGCCCGCGAGGAGAGGGCCGGACAACAGGGACCTCTGCTACTGATCCCCGAGTTGTGTAATATGACGGGTCTGTCGGAGTCCCTGAAGAATGACTTCAATGTCCGGCGACAGATGACTCAGAAGACCCAAACGGATCCCACGACTCGTGTGAAGAATTTGCATCAATTCATGGCTCAAGTGGTGAACAACGAGGAGATCAAGAAGGAGATGAGCCAATGGGGTCTGAAGTTCGAGGCGACGCCCGTGGAGGTGAACGCCCGGCGCCTGGACTGCGAGAAGATCATAATGCAGGGCGAGACGGCCGCCACCGGCGCCACGTTTGTCCAGAAAACGGGTGATTTCAGTAAAGAGATTCGCGGGAAGGGTATGTTCGCCGGCATCCGCATCACCGACTGGACCATCGTATGCACGCAACGGGACCGGCAGGTGGTCGACGAGTTCGCCAATACGCTGAATAGAGTGTGCAAACCCCTGGGCGTGAACCTGAATCGGCCGACCATTACGGCGCTCGACAACGACCGCACCAGTAGTTACGTGGAGGCGTGCAAAGCGGTGCCGCCCACCAATCAGATCACGGTATTCCTGTTGCCCAACAATAATAAGGAGAGGTATGACGCCGTCAAGAAGATCTTCTGCATCGACCACCCGATGGCCAGTCAGGCGGTCGTCCGCAAGACAGTCGACAATAAGCAGCGCCTGATGTCTGTCTGCACGAAGATTGGCATTCAGATGGCCTCCAAGTTGGGCGCCGAGCCCTGGGCTCTCGACATACCGGTGAGTAGTAGTCGTGTGTGCAGTGATTGGAGGGTTTTTTATATTGTTTGGTTTGTGGTCTAACTGTTTGTATGTGTTTTTTGATGTATAGCCCAAAGACCTAATGGTCGCTGGTTTCGACGTCCACCGGGACAGTAGTCAACGCGGGAAAGCCATCGGCGCCTTCGTGTGCAGTACGAACGCCACGCTCACCAAATGGTACAGTCGGGTGTCGTTCCACGACAACCGCGAGGAGCTGTCCGGCAATTTGGCCACTAATTTCTCGAGTGAGTAGACCTCCAGTTCCCAGTGATAACTAAACCCATTGATTACCCACTAATACTAACGGTTTGTATGTGTTTTGTGAGCGCAGGCGGTCTCAAGCGGTACTACGAGATAAATAAGAAGTTGCCGCAGCGGCTGGTCATCTATAGGGACGGCGTGTCTGAAGGCGATCTCGAGTGGGTTTATAACTACGAGTTGAAGCAAATAGAAGAGGCCATCAAGAAGATAGGCGACGCCGCGGCCACCATTAAGCTCTCGTTCATAATCGTCACCAAACGGATCAATACGCGATTTATGCTGAAGTTAGGCGAACGCCAGTTCGATAACCCCTTCCCGGGAACCATAGTCGACACGACAGTCACCCGTCTGGAGCGCTACGACTTCTACCTCATCAGCCAATCGGTGAGACAGGGAACGGTAGCGCCGACTATGTTTAATATCATCAAAGATGACACCAATTGGAAGCCACACCATCACCAGCAGTTGGCCTACAAACTCACACATTTGTACTACAATTGGATCGTAAGTGTCGGCCCC